ATACCTCCACTAAACCTGCTTTTTAATATCTGTGATCTAGGGCAGTAATCATAGAAACTTACCTCCAAGACCAGAAGGAAATGCCAAATAGTGCTTATCATTCTGCAATTACATTCATTCACAGTTTAACTTCCTGAAAGCATCATTACAATTTATAAGATTTAACACTGACACCTACTGAACACAAAATACAGTCCTGGTACAGCACAACATGTGCTTACCTACTGGAGAACACTACTTGGCTGCAGTTCAAGCTTATTTTAAGTATTTATGTTCATGTTCCTATTTGGTTTATCATTCAAAGTTCTTTTACATCCTCAGAGAAGGTTGCTCCTTGGGTGTTTCTCTTTTTGCTGGCTAAGATACTAGTCTGTTTGAACTTTTTTATTTGAAGAATCAAGAACTGGAACATAAAAGAAGAAGACACGGACAACTCTACAGCCTTCAGCTGCACATTAGATCACTCAGTGTCTGATGCCTACAGCTTCACTGTCTATGATGGTAATACGTGGTGATGACCTATGTCTGTGGTGGCAGGTTTGTGGACTTTAATATCTTTGGAACATTCCTCTGTCAAATAAGGGTCCATTTAGGCTCTGCCTCTGTGCACCAATGACAGTAAATGGTGGCCTCTCCCATCCCTATCTGCTGGGTTGCTTAGAAACAAACTGCTGGAGCAGAATTTGAGAAATCGAGTCTGCTGCCTTCTATTGCAGGCAGCCATATCATAGTCACTCTCATAAATGTACCAAGATTCATCTAACAAACCTGCAGATGTCTTGCCTTTACTATTTTTTTTTGAAGGCTTGCTCCATGATCCCCCATTATCACATGTACTGCTTGTACATCACTTCTTTCTCTTTGATCATGATGGAGGCCTCTCCTCACTTGTGTTCGAGCCTGAGTTACTCTTTCAAACATGAGACACTGATGTTTTGGGTGGCTTAGGTACCACTGGGGCCTAATACAATGGCATCAAGATTTATTGTTCTACTACAACAGTTCTCCCTTTCTGTTCTGGCAGACTGTAGGACTGCATTAGTCTTTCCCACCATGCTATGGGTCACAGGCATCTTCTACTCATTTTAACCTTTGTCACCTCTAGCTGATGAGCCCTGCTCCACCCCCCAGTTTACAGCCAAAATTCTCATTTAGTTTCAAGTGCCAAATATCCTACATACTGCACTACTAAATCTCACCCTCATTCTCTTTGTTCCCCCACACTGTCAAAATAATTCAGTTTTTTCCATATCCAAATTTTGCTGGCTTTGATGACATTCCACAACCTTTTTTAATCAGGAGCCTAATGAAAATATTAAAGTGTATCTGCTCCAAGGCAGATTATTCATTAAAAGGTATGTGTTGAATATAGAGGACGTTTAATCCTCACCACAATGGTTTTCCTTTCAACTAGCTCTTTGCATACCATATGGTTCTTGGAGTAGTCACATCTCTCCAAATACAGGTGTTTTTTTTCTCCAACAAATGGACAGTAACAAACATTTTTTAATGTCCAAAATATAAGATCTACTGCATTTTTTTCTACTTATTTTCTGGATGTCTAACCAAAAATGCCAGATTCATCAACTGGTGCAATTTACGAGGTAGTCAGCCCAGGCTGACTTTCTCCCCTGCCCGTTTTCCTGTTGAATTTTCTTCCAAACTTGCTCTTACAGTTTTCCAAACTCAGTCTAAAAGTCTGTCTAAAAAGTCTTGCCCATATTTGAGGTCACACAACAGGATGAATGGTTGTTCAGATTCCTTTTAATACTTTTTTAAATAGAGGTATTACACTCTGCAGAGCTATAACCTTGCTCTTGTGCTTTTCTTCAAAAGGGTCACAGAGAAAAGTTTACCAGAGACCAGGAATTGTTCCCTTTTGCCCATATACCCTAACATTACCTTTCTTTAAAAATGCAGCAGTGTATTTGGGGAGGAAGAGAGGAGAAGGGCACTTTTGACATTTTCTTTAAAGTCTGTTTTATCTCAGTATTTTATGAGGGAATTATGGGCTATTTCTTTCTCTCACACTCTTCACTGGTTGAAGAATACTTCCTTGTTTTTATCCTGTGCAAGGACCACTTGAGCTCATCAATTCTCAAAGCAGTCCTGTACTTCTCATTGGTCAACAAGTTTTTCCATTGCTTATAGTCTTTCTGCATGTCTGAGATATTTCTTCTGAAGCACTTATTTATTCAGTGAGACCTGGAGCTCTTTCCAACAACTGTTTACTCTGTGCTCAAGAAAAATTTCTATCTTACATGTTTGTCTCTTTGTTTTGAAATTCCCAGCCTCTTACACACTCATTTAATAATGACTTTATATTTCAAGAAAAAACACTAAATAGCTTTAGCCATGGGTTTGGTAATTTTTTTGGTAATTTTAAACTGCAGTAACTTGGGCTAAAGCTGTTTTCCACATGCAACTTGATCTGTAGGCTAATGCCCAACTGACCCCTACTACTAGTGCCTTTTTTTCCCCCCATCATTGAGACAGATACCCAGAATCACAGACTCATAATAATTTAGGTTGGAAAAGGCCTCTAAGATCATCAAGTCCACCATGAAGCTATGCCCCTAAGTGCTACATCTATACATCTTTTAAATATCTCCTGGGATGGAGACTCAACTACTTCCCTGGGCAGCCTGTTCCAACATTTCTTCTCTAACAAGCTATCTCCAAGGACAGCTGGTTTTTGTGTCTTGGCTCTAACCATCAACATGACATCAAAATTACCTTTTTTATTTCCTTCTAAGACCTGACAGAAAACTGTTTATCTTCATAAAGACTGACTAGAGAAAGGTAGAAGAATCACGTCTTAGCTGCAGAACTAAACTGAGTTAGCATACAACCATTTTCCTTTGCTCAAGTCTCTGCCCACACCAAAAATACTCCTTTCATTCCAAGGTGTAGAATTTTTTATTTGCATGGTATTGCTATGTATTGGCTAAAACTCTGTACCTGCTCTGTAGAGACTTTGCCTCATACCAAAAGAGACTACTGTGCCCTTTCTAGATGTGCACAAAGACATGAATTATTTTATACAGTGTCTCAAAATACATTTTGCTGGAGTTGTCAAGCAAACCTTTCTAAAACCTTTCTATTGTGCACCCACTGCACAGCAATAAAGCTTGCAATATAAGGAACAGAGGTGCTCGTGCACCTTCTAAATTTATTGTTTCAGAACAACTAGCCTGTCTTATAAAGTCTCTGTCCTTGCATCCCATTGCTATGACACACACATTAACTATATTCATATTGAGAAAAACCTGCTTATTCAGAATACTATAATTACACATCTTATAGTGAAAACTCTGAGAAGAAGAGAAAAATATCCTCTAGTGTTAACCAGGATTTTAAAATTGAAAGATTCTGCTGAGGGCACAGAAGGAGTGCACTAGTCCAATCTCCAGTCAATCCTTGCAGCAAAAAAGTTCCTTGTAGCAATTCAGCCTATGGATAAGGACTAGAAGATGCAAAAGCGCTGTATGGAGATTATGAAAGGAGTAGCAAGCTTGCTCCCCATTTGACAGAGTGCAATAAAATCTTTCTGCTCATGTGGTCCTTAGCATTTTTTTAATGAGTATTACTAATGACCTTGACAAGAATAATTTTTATGAGGCCTCCATTAAGTTTTTCAACTCAAAATAAGAACTGGTTTTTTAGTCTACAAGATAAACAAATTTAAAAAAAAATCAAATCCTCAAAGAGCAGCTATAAAATTATCAGCTTAGTGTCTCATCTTGGAATTTTGAACAGTTGTGTAACTGCCTCTACCCTTGCATTTAATTTCCATTTAGAGTTTTTACATCATTTTTCACTGACATTTTAACTTGCGTTAAAAAAAATCCTAAGAAGCATTAATAACGGATGGTCCTATTCAACGTTTTTTTTCAAAATACATTATAAATTTCTGCCATTTTCATGTTTTGGGTAACATTCTTTTAAATATAATGACTCCACTTTGGTGTTTAAGAGACTAAATAAAGGAAACAGAACAGTGATTATATGAGAGTTCCCTGTATCTTCCCATTTACAGAATATTCATTACTATTTCACAAAAGAAAAATATATATCACCATTATAAACAGGCATATGAGTAGCATCTGAACAGAGTGCCAAATGGCTGCTGCTGACTCCTGACATCTGTTGATACCCAAAACAAAGCTATAGTAGTCCCACAGACAAATAATCACAAGACTGGTTTTGAGATTTGATTTAGAGTGTTAAATGGGGGACTAAAACAAACTTTTGAGGGAAGAGTAATTACTTTCTTAACTCTCCCCTATCCTTGAGAGACGTATATAATATAATAAGTTGTCTAATACATTATAAAATTGAAAATGCAAGCAAAAACAAATTATAGGTGTTTGGCTCCGAACACTGAATTAATGCAGCTCTACAATAAATCATAATGTACCAAGGTCATGCAATCTCTGTCATTATCCTAGCATCTTTCATAAAATGCTTTGCAAACATAAACACTTTACATACTTCAGGTAAATAATACAGATATTTAAAAATATTACTAAACTGGTGGGTGATAAACACAAACACATATTCCATTATAGAGGACAGACTCAAACAAACATGGTCAGTCAAAAAAAAAGAAATGCAAATTCATCTCAGAAATATAATAGAATTACAGAATGTTATGGGTTGGCATGGCCCTTAAAGATCTTCTAGTTCCAAATCCCCTGCCATGGCCAGGGACAAATTCCATGAGACCATGTTGCACAAAGCCCCGTCCAACTTGACCTTGAACACTTCCAGGGATGGGGCATCGACAATTTCTGTGGGCAACCTGTACCTTACCACCCTCACAGTAAAGAATTTTTTTCTAGTATCTAGCCTGAATCTCTCCTCTTTCAGTTTAAAGCCATTTCCCCTTGTCCTATCACTCCATGTCCTTATAAAAAGTCCCTCTCCAGCTCTCTTACAAGCCCCTTCAGGTACTGGAAGGCTGCTCTAAGGTTTCCCTGAAGCCTCCTCTTCTTCAGGCTGAACAACCCCAACTCTCTCAGCCTGTCTTCATAGGTGGGGTGCTCCAGCCCTCTGATCGTCTTTGTAGCCCTCCTCTAGGCCTGCTCCAAGAGGTCCATATCCTTCTTATGTTGGGGGCCCCAGAGCTGGACACAATACTCCAGGTGGAATCCCATAAGAGCAGAATAGAGGGGTAAAACCTACTCCCTTGACCTGCTTGCTGCATTTCTTTTGTTGCAGCCCAGGACATGGTTGGCTTTCTGGACTGTGAGCGCGCAGTGGTGGATTACATTGAGCTTCTTGTCAACCAGCACCCTTAAGTCCTTCTCCTCAGGGCTGCTCTTAATCTATTCTCTGCCCAGCCTGTATTTGTACTTGGGATTGCCCTGACTCAGGGGCAGGATTCTTGCACTTGACCTTGTTGAACTTCAGGGTTCACACAGGCTCGCCTCTATAGCCTGCCAAAGTCCCTCTGGATGACATTCCTTACCTCCGTTGTATTAAATGCACCACATAGCTTAATGTCATCGTCAAATTTGCTGAGGGTGCACTGAATCCCACTGTCCATGTCACCAATAAAGATGCTAAACAGTGCCTAACATCTTAAATATGTTAAACAGTGCTGGTCCCGATACTGACCCCTGCGGATCGCCACTCATCACTGCTCTCCACTTTGGACATCGGGCTGTTGACCACAACTCTTTGAGTGTGACCAGCCAGCCAATTCCTTACCCATTGAGTGGTCCACCCATCAAATCCATGTCACACAGTTTAGAGACAAAGATGTCATGAGAGACAGTATTACATGTTCTGCGCAAGTCCAGGTAGATAATGTCAGGTCCTCTTCCCTTATACACCATCATAGTCTCCACCATATGACCTAGCAGAAAGAGGAGGGATGGACACAATCATCTAAGAGGTTCCTTTCAGTCTTGTCACCTATAATTTTATGACCTAATTCTTTCTTTATTGGATAGAGATTGCATATAAACACCAGAAAATGTAGAAGTTTGGAAAGGCTTTAAACACTCAGGTGTTGGAGCATAAACAACCTCTTAACTAGTGCAGGGAGGAACTCTTCTCACCAGCAAGTCATTTTGTAAGCACCCAAATCTTACCTCTCATGGGGAAACATCTGGTACCAAAGAGAGGATAATTTCTTTTTCCTCTAGTTAAAGCTCATACACCTGAGGAAAAAAGCAAGCTCTGAACACAGATGGTATGTCACATTTTACTCTTGGGAAAATGTGAAGTTGTGTGGATTATAGTGTTGCGCCCACCTACCTGTGTTGCTTTCTTTGGACAAAATATGGCCAGGATAATCCATCAGCAGAAATCCAAATAGAAGATAATAATATTTTGTTCTGACTGTGGTTGGTGACCTTTCCCACTGACACAGGACTGGCTTCTCCAGGTTGGCCATGAAGGCCTACAGTGGGGAAAATATTCCTATTTACGTTTTTTAAAGCTTGTCTGACTTCTTTTTTTTGTTGTTTAGAACCTCTGACCTTGATAGCTTCTCACTCTGCCCAGAGAGTTTTTGTCAGTTTGCACCAGATCAAAATATATTTGTGTAGGAGAAAGAGATTTGGAGGTTTAAACTCAAGAAGGAAAAAAAATTACATTTGCAGCTGAATTTTTGAGCTAATTTCTTCTATCATTAAAAGAAGAAAATTTTCACAAATTTTTCTAATTTTTTCAAGTGGTTCTTCCACTTCTTTTCTACATGACCTGAATATAACCGAAACTTGCAAAGCAATGTTTATCACTCCAAGACTACATTTTTAATGTAGGGTTCAATTCAGTTCACTGAAAAAAATTCAAAAATATTCATTTTTATCTATAACTACACAACTCCCACATAGTATTCTTGCTAGTCTTATCCTACCTAGTGTGATAGAAAAATACAGTTTATCAATATTCAGTGATTCTTCCCACTGAGCTATGAATCCTTATTTCTTTTCCATGTGTGGTTCTCCACAAAAAAACACATACAGAATCATCTTTAAAAGACATACTTTACATCTTAAAAACTGTGATTTTACATTCTTCATGGTAATTCTTTCTAAAGTATGTATCAATTTTATTATTTTTAATTTCATTTTAAAAATTAATCTAGGGTACAGATAGAAATCAGAAACCAGATCAGTTTGCATAAAAATCGTGCAAAAGTCCCACTGACTTCAACTGAACCCAGATTTCATCCATGTGTCAAAGCCCTTTGGAAGCAATTCTCTGTTGGACAGAAGTGGGCTGCTGAAATTGGTGGGTTTCAATGAGGCTGCCATGGTCGGTCTACCCAAAAAATATTCATCCCATCTCATTTGATGTTTATCAAATTCCCTTACTGTAGAATTTCTTTTTCTTCTGAAAAATGTTCCCTGCTTTGCCCACAGAGAGAAAAAAAATGTTTCCTTCTCATGAGGAATGCTATACATGTCCTTTGATATTTTTCTTTAATTTCTTCTTCAACACAGAATATAATCAAATCTGTGGCAGAAAAGGGTTGCCTTAGTTCTTATTGCACTACGAAAGGTTAGAGATGTGTTCTGTAAACTGACTTCAGGGTAATTAGAAAAAGAAACAGAGCAAAACAAAGAAACATGATGATCAAAGAGAAAAAGCATAAAAGAGACAAGATGCACACCAAATATTGTACCCATCCAGCAAAACAATTCTGTTCACATTTGCAGGCAGAAGCCGGAGTAAAACTAGGAACATTGTTCCTATCTTGTACGGGTAGCTGCCATGCAAGTGTGCACAAATATACTTTACAAGTCCCAAACAACTACAGCACAAGATTTTTGGAATAGTTTGTTGTAGAATATATGTAGCACTTGCTTATACAAAACAGCAATATTTTGAAAGTAAATGTAAAAATCAATGTCCCTTTATAATAGGCAAATTTGTAAATGAGATTATCAGAACTGCCTATTAAAATATGGTCTGCAATAAAAATATATTACATAATGTCCTGACAGGAAGACAGAATTACAGTATGAATGCTGTCATTTGGCAGTTTGCTGACACTGCTGTCTTTATTCCAAATTGTTCTTAACGTCATACAAACATTTTCAGGAATAAGGCCAATATTACTTTCAATTCCTCCAGTTTTTCTTTAATTTCTTTTATGGTGACAGATATTACCATACAATGAGTAAAACTACTTATCATACTAATTTAAACACATCACATAAAACTTAGCTGGCAGAAAGAATAATAAAAATGGAGAGAGATGAAGCAGGGGAAAATAAACAACTAGAAGGTAAGGAGGAAGAGGGATCACTGAGAGGAGGATTCACATCACGATCCCACAAGTTATCCCAGTATCCTCACAGACAGCATCAATGATTAGGGCTTCATACAGAATCAGATTAAAATTGTCTACATGGGTCTAACACCTCCTCCTAGTAATTTCTGTGAAGGCTATCAGAAGACTAAATCGTATGAGCTGTATCATGTGGGTTTAGATCGAACAATGAATTCAACCATGAGATGCCACTGGTTGGTAGCTACATCAGTGACTGGATTTTTACAGAGGTTCTGTCTGCTCATGGCATTTCTAATCTTGCTGAAAGGGGCCACAGCACTGCAGCAAAAAGGGTTCTGGAGGATTCAACACAGTGACAATATTGGGTCCCAAATTGTATGCTTAAGTTTTGCTCTCTCTCAGGTATCAACTGCTTCTCACACTTTAGTGCATGTCTCTCCTCAAGATCTACAAAAGCCATGTACCCATGAACTTCCACAAGACTTGTAGGGCTTTCTGTGCCAGTTCTCTCACAGCAGAGGTGGCTTAGCATCAGGTATTTGCAGCTTAGTCTAGCTGAAAATTCTGCCTATGGGAAAGGACATTTCCAGCTGCCTCCAAGCATGGCAAATGTCCTGGAGGAGATAAGTTATCAGAATTCAAAATTCCCTATAAATGCAGGGAAGATACTAATTCTCTTCTCTCTATTGCCACACTGAGGACCCTAAAAACTAATGATTTAGCAATCAAGCCACCTGCCCCCAAGATAGCAAGCATATAATGCAACATAATGTTGGATAGTATAAGGCTCCTAAATTCTTTTAATGACTTTTTTTTTGTTTCTTTCTTAATCCCAAAGAACTTGAAACATATTAAATTTAAAAAAAAAGCAAGAGAGAGAACAGAAACTGGTAATGCACTCAGGGTGGAAAGAAGGCTGGGTAATATATTCATTCTAATTGTATTTAACCTTCCCCCATAATGAGAGGGGGGAAAGCCTACCATCTGTTTAAGTCATTAGTCAGTTCCATAATTAAAGGATTAAGACTAGCTCTAACAATTTCATTACTTTTCCTAGGAAACTAAACATCTGACTATTTAAAACTAGTCTAATGCCATTGAAAAGAGCTATTGATCAGTTTTGTCTTTCTTATACTTTGGGAGATTGCCATCACCTCAAAATTCAGTCCAATTGATTTATGTGAGGAACATTTCCTAAAGTTGACTACCATGTCCAATACATAAGGAAAAGATTTTTGTCAATCTGATATAAATAATGTATATTGTCAGCATAGAGTAATAGTTTAACCTCACACATTCCCGATCTCATATATTGCAGTATACAATTAACCCTAATTTATATTTCTAGCCATTCAAGGACAGTGTTAAATAAAAGGAGTAAATAAAAGCTGTTCTTTTGCATAGCTTTTAAGAATTAAGCAATTAGCCTCCTTTTAAGTCAAAGTGATTGTGGACTATAACACAACAACAAAATCTAGGTAAGAAATGATCACATAAGCCAAATCTACTTAAAGGACCAAGTCAACCTAATCTTGTCAAATGCCTTTTCTTTATCAGGGCAACACTGCGGCAGGGATTTATCTGAGTATCTGCAGACACTCATTAATTCCATCAGTAATCTTGTACTATCAATGCCCGATCATTACTTATTAAATTCATCTAATTAGGATGGTAGATATCATCTACTATTTTATTTGATCTTGTATCCAACATTTCGGTGGGATATTCGGGTTGGCAGAGCCTAAAGTGTTGTTGTAGATCTTTGCCTCGTTTAAGCTTAACTGAGTAAGGACCTCAGGAGATCAGTCTCCTTCAATATATGCAGTTGCTTACACCATCCA